CTTCCGATGGACGCTAATATCAAAGTCCCATAGAAATTGTCGCTGAGGGGCGGCGAGCCACCGGGCCCTACCTGCATCCAGACATGCCTCTCAGCCAGTATCACAGAAGGGTTATTAGTCCACAGGGGGCAAGCCTAGAACAGACTTGTCAGCACAGGAAGTAGGAGCAGCCCATGCCATCCATCTTGGGGAGATCCCTGGGCCCCAACCCTGTATTGTAAGCCAGCCAAGACTAACTCATGCTGGCAGCACCCTCCCCCCGCCCCCCCTTCTCCTTTGTCTAGCTTCCCACGGCAAAAGGGGTCATGTAGCCGCCATTGTATTTGTTCTGTTTTATCCCACTTTTAATATCAATATAGATTTGGACAAGCTGTCAACGCAAGGTACCTGCAGAAATATGGTAGCTGGTAACGGTTTGGATTTATTTTGTTATTTTCCAAAAGATGCATGAGGCACAAATGTTGCGGGTGATGTGATGGGGTATTCTTTTTAATTCTGCTCAGAATCACATCTATCAGGGATGGTCTAGACGGTGCTTGGTCCTGCTGTGAGGGCAGGCGACTGGACTCGATGACCTCTCGAGGTCCCTTCCAGTTCTAGTGTGCTGTGAGTCTGTGATTCATCCCAGAAGTAAACGATGGGACGTTGGGTACCTAGCCACCTAGGGCCATATTGGTATTTAGGCAGCTAAAGAGGTCGATGGGAAGTATTTGGGAAAGCTCCGAAGAAGAACTGAATCGGCTCAAATGGTACAGAATAGATTCTGACGTTTAAGGGGAAAGACACCCCCAGATGTCTCTCATTAAAAGGCCCAGTTCCACCCCACAGCCTGTCCACTTGTGTGCTGAGGATCGAGGGCTGGGTTTGTTTGACTCTTCGACTGTAACACTACACTGCTCCTTGGGTGGGGTAGGATGTTGCAGGAATTAATTGCAATAGCGTTGACTATGGGTTTGCTGTTCTTTGTTTGGATGGGCTGTTCCTTGTGCAGGGGAGATGTGTGTGGGGCATGTGAACAGATGAGAGAGAAGATGCTGGCAACAGATGGACTTAACTGGGGGAAAAAAGAGTGAATAAATGAAGGTGCCAGGTCAACCTTGTCTGGATTAAAAAGACGGAGACATTTCAGCTTAGGAAAGAGGAGCCTAAAGGGTGATAGGATCGAGGTCTACAAATTCATGACTGGTGTGGAGAAAGTGAATAAGGAAAGGTTTGTTCTGGAAAAACAACAGGGCATCAACATACAAATGCCACCAAGGCCAGCTCCCACTTGTGTTGTCCCTAGCCAACGGCTGGATGGACTCAAGCAATGATAAGGACTGGTCATTATAAAAGCAGCTGGAGAATCTTTTGGGAGCTGTGTGTGGGTGTGTCTGTGTGTCTCTGTGAGTGTGTGTGTGTGTGTGTGTGTGTGTGTGTGTGTCCTTAAGTTAATAGCATATTGGGCTGCATTAGGAGGAGAGTTGCCAGCAGATCTAGAGAAGTGATTATTCCCCTTTAGTCAGCTCTGGGGAGGCCACATCTGGAGCTCTGGCTGGGATGATTGAGTTGGGTTGTTCCTGCTTTGGGGAGGGGACTGGACTCGATGACTTCTGAGGTCTCTGCCAGGCCTGGGATTCTAGTATTCAAAGGGGTCCCCCAATCTCCTGTGTCATCCCACCCAGCTGGAGAAAAATGACAATGCAAACCAGCGAATTCTTTGCCAGAAAATGATTCTTTCACCTTCTTGGGTTGAGTTCCAGAAGTCGACACAAGCCCTGACCCGGCAGGTGTGACCTGCGCGCAACAAGGCAAGCTTCATCCCTCCCACGATTTCCTCCCCATCGTCCTGCCCCAGGCGTCTTTCACCTCCTTGTTCCGCAGGCTGTAGATAAGGGGATTCACCATGGGAATGATGAAGGTGTAGAAGACGGACACGGCTTTGCGAGGGTAGAGCAAAGACACCCAGGTGGGCTGGGCGTACATGAAGGCCGTGGAGCCATAAAGGATGCTCACCGTGATCATGTGGGAGGTGCAGGTGGAGAAGGCCTTGTGCCGACCTTCAGCGGAACGGATCCGGAGGATGGTGGAGATGATGTAGAAGTAGGAGACGAAGACAACCAGAAAGGTGCTGCCGATGATGAAGCCGCACAAGGTGAACATCACCAGGTTGTTGACATACGTGTCGCTGGTGGCCAGGTTAATCAGCGGTGGGCCATCGCAGAAGAAATGGTCGATCTCCCTCGACCCGCAATAGCGCAGCGAAAACGTGAAGCCGGTTTGCACCATGGAGTTCACGCAGCCGCTGAAGATGGAGCCGGCCACCAGCCGGACGCAAAGCCACTTGGACATGGTGACGGGGTAGAGGAGCGGGTTGCAGATGGCTGTGTAGCGGTCGTACGCCATGGCCGCCAGCAGGAACCCCTCAGCCGTGAGGAAGACCGAGAAAAGGAAGAACTGGGCGGCGCATTCATTGTGGGAAATGGAGTTGCTCCCCACCAGGAAGCTGGCCATGGCTTTGGGGGCGATGGTGGTGGTGAAGCAGAGGTCCAAGACCGACAGGTTCATGAGGAAGAAATACATGGGGGTGTGAAGACTAGGATTGGCACAGATGAGGAGGATCATGCTGGCGTTCCAAAGCACCGTGATCATGTAAATCAACAAAAACACCACAAAAGGGACCACCTGCGCTCCCGGGCCATTCCCGAATCCCTGCAGGACGAATCCCTCTTGAGCCGTGCAGTTATCTGCTCTCGCTATCTCCATGGCTGGCGTTTCCTTGGGAGAAAGAGAGCAAGACCAAAGTTAAAGAAGAACCCAGCGGGCAATGCGCATTTCAGGTCTCACCAAAAATAGGGAGCAGAGCTCTTGCCAGAAAGACACTGGGCTAGAAGTTTGCAGATTTGATCCTTTTCTATATGCTCCCCTAAAGCAAATCTCTTTGCCTGGGATTTTCTAAGATGTCCAAGAAACCCCCAGTGATCCTCAAAAGGTTTCAGTCACTGTAACTTTCAGGGTCTTAGGAGAACTTACAGCTGTTTTATTTCTGCCTCTCGGCATCCCTGTCGGAAAATTAAGCTTTCGGGAATTCCCTATCTCAGAACGTGCTAAGAAGATCAAGCCATGGAGGGTTTGGAAGGTCTCAGGTGGTAGCCCAAGTGAGGCACCGAAAAGTAGCTGGGGAGGGATTTTGGAAATGAGTCAGGTGGCTCCTTTGTCCTTGGATGGAAATCAGAGCCTTGAAAGTTGAATGTGAAAGCAGAAAAAATGTTTGCCTCACTGTAAGCAGATCAAACCTGGGGCAAACCAAGCTTTATCCCTTCCTAATAAAACGGGAGCCAATTTGTGCATTTTGGAAAGTGATTTTTCAAGATCCTCTACAACTGAACCAGCTGCCCTGCATGTCTGAAATTCAAAGCATAAGTGAAACAACCTCTCCTTCCATGAGAAATCCACTGATTTAGTACTCCAGTTCTAATACTCCAGTCATCTGAAGAAGTGGGTTGTGTCCACGAACGCTTTGATACCATCTTCATGTCTTGTTAGTCTTTAAGGAGCTACTAGACTATTGGTTGTTTAAGTTTTTCCACTGATTTCTAGAAAGAGTGGAAAAAGTAGGGGAGTTCTGGATATTAAAGAAATCTTTATTTTTGCAGCGAAAGGCATAGCAAGAATGCTTGTTTGGAAGAGAAAGTCCAGTGAAAGATTTTGGGCCTTAAATAAGAATTAAAACAGTATATGGACAAAGATAATGCATCGCTTATTTAGATGCTATTTTGAAATAGCTTATTTCGTCATTTGATGCTGTCTGTACAATGCCAAATTTGGAAATAAAGTGCTGTTCCAAAACATCCTTTACTCATAGAATGAGGTTTATAGGGACATTGGAATAGGGAGCCTGAAATAATGGGTATGCTGGGAAGACACGGGATAGCAATTTCGGGATACTCCAGTATCCTGAAATAGCATTGCTGTATAGACGTTCTGATATAGAATATTGTTGTAATGCTGGTCACATTAAATGGAGATTTGCCTGCACAAGACTAGAACAGGGTCTTAATAAAAGTTTTATGAGGAACTTTCTGGGAACTAAAAGCTCTTTCGAGAGTCATTGGATACTCGCTTTTAGTATCAGATTCTCACATTTTTGCTCCATAATACAGCACCGTATGTATTTGTGCATTTCTGTTATTTCACTTACCAGGTAATTCTGCATCACACTCAATTATCAAAGCTGCAACTTCCCCTGGAGCCTAAATCCCATGGAACCCTCGGAGCTAGCTGTTCTCAGAGCTGGCTGAGTCCTGTAGGATCTTTAGATATCGTAAAACCTCCTAAATTCTCCTTAAATGCCAATTGTTCCTCCATTTTAGCCCCCACCCCAACCATCTCAAAGACCTTAGACCTAGTCATGAACATGCTGTTGTCAACCCAGCAAATAGGAGGTTGCAGTAAATGACTCGCTCTGATCAAGGACGTTCATTGCTGCTGTATACGGCGCTGGAGAAACCACGGATGTGTCCCGGCTTCAAGCAGGATACTTAGAATATAGACAATGGGGCAGTGGCGAGAGAGACTGATTGAAGGTCTCACGGTCAACTAATAAAGGAGGCCGATGTGTTTAGTTGAGTCAAGAGGTGGATGGAAATAATTTAATCATGTCTGTACATGCTGTAGGGCAGAGGAGGACTTTTTAGTGACCATCCCAATCATGAGAGATCATGGCCACCCTGTGGCCCCTCCATTCCTGCCGAAAAGTTGCAGCCATATCAGAGAAGAGCCCCAGAAATAATGTGAGAGCTGGAAAAAATGTTTGAGGGAATGGGACATACAGACCACCTCTTTATATGATCAAAATGAAGATCGGGTGCGGGAGGACCAAGAAAGACTATTCTGGGGATTAAAGATATCTTTATTTTTGCAGAAAAAGGCAACAAGAAGTTTAAGTAAAGACCCAATGCCTTTCGGGAAGACACTTTAATAAAAACGCAAATTGAACGGGATGAAATTCTCTGGCTGGCATTATAGAGGAGATGAAATTGGAATATTAAATGGCCCATTCTGGCCTTGAAATCGGTGAACCTCAGATGTTTTGTTACAACTGGAAGTTCTTTAATGTCATAGATTCACAGATGCCAAGGGAAGACGATAACAAGGTGACCATCACACCTGATGTGTAGAACACAAGGGAGACGGCGTCTTCTAAATAATTCCCGGGACAGATCAATCAGAAAAACATCTGATCTTGATTTACAAAAACGGCCGGTGAAACCGCCACACCCCTGACAGGTTGCCCCAATGTGGAACCTCACCGGCCAGGCAAGAAGAAGGAAGGGCAGGGATGGGCCTTTCTAGCTTCTTGACTCTTACAGTGTTTCTGAGTCTTGTTTGCCATCAAGAGATGCGGTTCCAGCTGGGCTGTGTCTCTCACCAGCCGGCTCATCTCCTGGGCTGTGGCCGTTCTTGGATGTCGCTGATGTCTCTAGGTTCTGTCCGGCCCCCGGGTGGTGGGCTGCCGGGGAAGGAGAATGGCTCGTTCATCCAGCCCTGAGCCTTCTGCCAAGATGTAGTAGCATAGGGCGGGGACTCGTTCCCCACAAGGCTTTTTAAAGTCTATTGTCTTTGCTTTCCCCTCCCTCCCAGCTCCACCCGGGAGCCCCAGGAGAAATCAGAGCCGGGCGTTCGCTCCTGAGTCACTGGGCTTCGCAATCGGCAGCGGGGGGTGAAGTCATCATGAGCTAAATCCAGAGGCTTGGAGAGCGATTTAAACCCGGGAGAGGAGAGTCAGACACTCCGTCTGCAGCCTGAGGCGCGCCCCAAAAGGGGGGGGGCGGAATTAGAAGAATTGGATTCTCTGTTCCCAGAAGGGATGAATTGAACTCTGAGAGTTAGGTGCTGGGTTTGTTTCTTCATCTTCCATTCTCCCTGGAGTGTGAACTCATATCAAGTAAATATGAGGGGCAATCAAAACATGATTTTTTTCCTGGAAAAAAATTAAGAAGGTCTTCAAGAAATGCCTTTTGGTTTTCTGGCATCTTCAGCTGAAAATCGCAGCTTTCAGTTTCTCAATGGACATTCAGTATGTTCTGGGGGCTGCGGAGGGAACCACCTTTTCTGCCCCACTTGAGTGGGTTTGAGTAGATCATGCGTAGGACTTTCTTACTTGGCACGTTTCTGCCAAACTGCTTTGTGCATTTCTGTAAGGATATAGGAACGGCCCAGGATGGTCACCCAGCCCTGGGCTACACAAAATAACCCCCCTTCGGTCAACTTGATAAGCGGAACGTCCATGTAACCAACCCCGTTATTTCGAAATGACAGGCCTCTGATTTTGAAATCTGTCCTCCTGCTTTCCTCAGGGACTACCGCTCATTCCAAAAGAGTCATTTCGAAATAGAGGCAGTGTAGATGTGCCGGCGCTGCTATTTCAAAATAGCTGCTCCCCAAAGTCATTTGAACATATTACTCCTCAGTGCTTCCTGGGGCTCTAAGTCGAGGTAGCACTTCCACATTAACGAAGCCAGCCTTGGACAAATTTTGAGGCTTCCTCGTAGTGGGGATGCGCTAGTTTGATTTTGTAAAATCGGGAGGTATGAAGTCAAATTTTGTTACTTTGACACAATTCCCTAGTGTAGACGTGCCCTTGTTGTCTCCTCCAGCGTCATGGCCAGTTCTGTCATCCCACGATCTTCTGGGTCCTGTATCATTATGTCCCACTGGTAATCATCCTGCCACCAAGTTTCTGTGCCATCTGTCCGGCCCATAGCCTCCTTTAATTCCCACCATTCAAGCTCTCCTATCTCATTAGTTTCTCTGATATAAGGAGTCAATATTTAGTGGTCTGCGTTCAAGGGATATAACTGAACGGGACTCGTTTCTCTCTGGCTGTTTCTCTCTAGGCCCAAGCTGTGCTTTGGCCACATGTCTCTCAGGCCTGGTCTACACAAGACCAGGCATGTTGCGTTAAGTCACCACGGCATCTCCATTGTGAGAGGCTGGCGGGAGCCCTCGCTCTGGTTGGTTTCCCGTGCTGCGCACAGAATGAGGAGTACACCCTGCTGGCGGGGCTGTTCTCTCCATTCGATTTGGGGGCCTACACTAGACCCACTAAATTGAATGCTAGATGATCAACCTCCAGAGGGTTGAACTTCTCCATAATGTAGACACGCCCTGAGAGACCGAAGGCTCTCGTGAAAATCTCCCACAAGGAGGATGGCTTGGGGGACCTGGAGATTCCTCTCTGATGTCCAACACTTCTTTTCCTAGTACAACCGGACACTGTTTGGACACAAGTCCCCAGCTAAATTGACCGAATAGGAATATGCTCTGTTGAATTCGTTTTGTCGAGGGAAAGCTGCCTTAGAACCTGAATTCCCATTCCTCAGAACATGCTGAAATTTAAAGAGAAGAAAAAAGGGACAAATTCCACCCCCCGTACTCAGCAGGACAACCTGCATCCGTAAGCCCTTCTCAGTGTGTGTCTACACTAGCGAGAAGATCAAGGTTGATTTTCTAGCGTTCGATTTAGGGGGTCTAGTGTAGACCCCCTAAATTGCATGCTGAGGGCAGCCCAGATTGGTGTCTGGAGCTTTTCGTTCTGCAAGGAGTAAGGGAAGCCGATGGAAGCATGTGCTCCGATTGACCTCCCACTGTGTTGACTCCACTATGGCTTGACTTAAGGTAAATCGACACCAACTACACATTTGGCGTAGCTGGAGTTGCCTATCGTAATGCACCTGCCTGGCCTAGTGCAGACCAGGACTAAG